TCAACTAACTGTAAGAAAAAACTTAAAAAAAAAAAAAAAAAAAAACAAACAAACAAATGAATAAAAAACACTTTGCTGACTTGCTGTCAGTTGGCATTAATCAGCAAACCTTTCGCCTTGGCCATTTGGCCGGACAATATTTGCCAATCAATTGCCACAAAACAGAAATTGTCCATTTTCCTGTTGCCTGTCGCTGCCTGCTGTCGCCGGAGCGGAAGGAATTTTAAAATTCAAATATAAAATAAAATGCCCAATTGAAATCGGCTACAATGAACATCCTCGGCATTCGTCGCACAATGAACCCAAGACAGCTCTGCGTCAGGTTCAGATTCAGATTCAGGTTCAGCTGCTTGGGGTTCTGACTGGGGACCGGGCGAACGGCGCACAAACGGACAAATGAAAGAACGTCCGACCGCAGCAAATAATATTGAAAATCCGTAGACAATAGTGTACACATTTCAGCATTTGGCGGACTTGGCGCACTTGGCGGGCTGGGCTAAGACCCACTTCATGGTAATGAAAATCAACTGGATTGGAATGAAGTGGAACTGTCCTGAATTCGGGCATTCATTTGCATGCATACGAAATGGAAATTCCTGTCTTGCTTTTGGCTTAGGTTTTTTATTAAAAAAGTTGACGCCACCTCAGCAGAAAGAAATGCCAATTAAAAAAGTAAAACGCCCGCAACATTTGGCCGGGCCGAAACAATGGACATTTGGCTCGCTCATTAGCCGAAATCATTGTCAGGCATGCTGGCGCATATATCATGATGCCACGGTTGCCGCTGCCCGCAAAATAGGCAACAACAAAAATACAAATATACATATGTATATATATATGCAGGCATTACAAATTATGAGCATTATCATCTGAGGAGCAGCAGGAGTCGGAGCCAGCCAGCACCAGCCAACAGCTAACAGGCCTACGATAATCCACTGTGCGAAATGTACAAATGATTTGCCTTAACGCCCAACGGCCGGCAAATTGCAAGAGCATCAAAAACCAAGTTCTGGCTGTGGTCATGCTGCTAAGTGGACAAATCTACCACAAATACGAAAATCACCCTCATTATGGCCAAAAACGTAAATTCCTCGTTGCTGTTGACTGTGTTTGTGTTCTCTTCTTTACGTTTTTGTTGTTGTTGTTTTTTTTTTATCGCAATGTCGACAAGACCACTGGGCATGTTAACAGACAACATGCTACGACTGCGACAGCCACTCCGTTAAATGGTCAGCCCATACAGCAGCAGCAGCAACAACAACAAGAACAACAGGATGCAGGCTGGCAAAAAAAAGGCGACAATGTTCACAGTTAGTCCGCTGGACCGACCGCTGTCATCATGGCTGACACTAAAGTGGTTTAAGGCGATAAGACGCCCGAGGCGATGTGTGTGTGTGTGTGTGTGTCGCGTCGACAATGGGTAGATTCAGATGCCAGCCGCGCAGGCAGGGACTCCACACGCGGTTATCCATGACACATTGGGGTAATGAGTGAAATGCGGGCGCACCAAAGGGGCGAAGCGAAATGTGAGAAGCGCCGAGTGAAGGCAAATGAAATGTGTGAGTTTGTATTGGGAATAGATCAGCAAGCGAAGGAAGTACAGTTTATGCAAATAAATTGATGATGGAAATAGGATCAAATTGTATTATCCCATACTATAATTTAACTATATTATAATAAGCCGAAAGCCCGTACTGCCAGTGCTTAGCTCTTAGTTAGATTTAATGTTTTATGAATTATTAATAATAATTATTAAATAAATTAATATTAAAATATTATATTTTATTATATTTTATTATCTCTATTATATAATATTATCTCAATCAAATTAATTTTTTTATCAGTTTATCTAACAAATCCTAAATCCTCATATCTAATTTGTTTCTATGTCAATATTCAACCGAATTATTTCATTTGAATATGCTTTAAAGTTACTTAAATAATTATTAAAAATATTTAAAAATA